TGGCTTGCAACGGTTACTTTACAGAAGTACAGACTTACAGACTTTAGCTTCAAATTCATCTATGGATAATCAATTCGCAGAACTACACAATCTTTTTTTTGTTCTCCTTTAATACTTGAAAAAATTGAGAGAAGGATTTAAGGACTTTCTTAATCCCAAAGAACCAGCACATGGATTACTCGCAATCGGATCTAAAGGCAGTTGTGAAAATCAGTTAGAGAAAAGGTTACTCTTAAGATAGGTCAGCAGAGCATGTGAACGTAGCAATATTCGTGATGAATGTTCATTATATTTTGTACTAAAGCAGTCAATAGGGATTATTTTTCTATGCAAGTCAGGTGCACAGCATTTCTGTTAGCGCTGAGACATGCAAGCGGGATTTAGCATGACATTCCAAGCACTAAAATTCCTACTAAAGATTTAGGTGGGTCCAGATTATTTACTGAGCCTGACCAGTTACAGTGTCTGGGCACAGAACAACTGGAAATGAGACAAACCATCCAGCCACCCACAGAAGAAAAGCTTTGAGAGGTGCCAAGCCCAAGGAGAAAGTTTAAACAGACTTTTTTTTCCTCTTATTGCTATCTCCTTTCTTAGCAATGCAAGCTGTGAGAAGGGGCGAGTTTGAACTCATGTCCTGTACAAGCTGAATTTATAACAAGCTGAAAGGCAATTGCAGTCCTGGATCATAAAATCATAATGAATTTATGTTCCTGGTTTAAAACGGGGAATTATCCTTTGCTTATTAACTAGCTGGTGCTGCTCAGTATGCAATTTATACAGCCCAGTGTAACCTGAATTGGGAAATACAGCTGCACAAGGTTCTTATCATCTAAGTGTTACCAGAGAGCCTTCCCTTCAGATAAGCATGTAAAGAAAATACAAATATACACCTATGAAACAAGCCATGGTCACAGGCAAAAGTGCTTACGTCAGAACTACATTAGCTACAGCTACATGACTGTTAAATGCTTGCAAGTGGTATAGGCTGAATTTTACCTACACCGAAGAAGAAAAATATTCCAAAGTCAGTCCCAGGATGAGGGGTGAGTTTACTTAGCCTCATTTTTCTCTTGCTAGAGTCTAAACACACTGGCTGTTTTGAAAGCTTGAGGTTTGGTTTTCCTGGTCTCGTAAAGAGGGAGCTCTCCAAACGTCTTCAGTGTTTAACCACAAACATGGTGGGCTGTGGCCATTAATGCCTTAGTTCAACAGTGCCTTGAGCAGGAGTTTTATGGAGGAAAAAAAAATATTCCAAAACAGACACAACCACCCACAAATGCCATTTTTGTAATTTATTTGAACACCTATTTACTTCCTGCACAGCGCACAGTAATGTTTGTTTCTTCAACAAAATAAAACCATTTTCAAATGACACCTCATGTATCAGATGACACGATCCGTCCCTGGGCAGAACATCAGGTTTTCAAGCGAAACTTCAGTTTATGATCCATCAATAAGAAGTAGCAGAATGTACATATAGGCAAATCTAAAGGTAAAGCTTAACAGTATGTTAATGAAGAATTTTGATTATCCTATAAAAATAAGGACTGGTAATCCCATCAATGGCTAAGGAAAACAACATTTGCACACCTTTTGCAATAAACTGTACACATTTATGCAAGTTTTCCTATATTGTGTTACTACAAAGAACTCCACAATCATTTTCAATAAAGAAATTATCTCAAGATTGACAAAGCTTACCTCTCGGAGTGTAGGTTTGCCTTTGAAAAATTCTGTGTTTTTGCTACTTTTTGGTGGGTTAAATCTTAAATTTAGAAAAGCACATCCATTAGCAATAGCCTCTAAAGGAGCCGGCCCTTCATATGGAAATCCAAGACCAACGAACAGCTGAAAAATAGAAAACAAGGCCTATCTTAATTTTTGTTCTTTACAAAAACTGAAAGCTAAGAGCTAACTTAAAATAAACAATAATGCATTCAAAATGTACCAGCCTAAAAAAAGAATATAACGTTAAGAAAAAAACGGGTGACATTCAGCAGCTCACCCCCTCCTACCCAAGCACTAACGGAATGTCCTGCAAAACACATTGGACAATAATCTTCTGTAATGAGCTGAGGCGGTTTTTCATGGAGCTGAGGCAACAACAGACCCTTTCAGTTATATTTTTTTTTTTTTTGGGGGGGGGAATATAAATCATTTGGTGGTTTGATTGGTGTTGAGATGAAACTGCAGGGGCTCTCTTGCCGTTATAGGTTTTACTGTAGCAACTCCATGGCACAGTTACACTCCTGTTTGCCCCCTGGCTCCCAGACCAGCTAACCTGCTGGTTTTGCCAACAGGACCGTGCTCCTGGCACAGCCATTCAAACTCTTCTAAGGAAACCGGTAGATGGCAGCAAAGGGCAGCTGAAGACACCCTCCCCAGGCAGGCAGCAAGGGCTTGCAGGGAATTACCAGGGCTCAACGCCTCCAAGGGAAACCGAAGGAGGAAAAATGCATCACAAAGCGATTCCTCCATCAGCTGAGATTACAGCTGCGCTAGAAAAAGCAGTGCTTTTCTCCAATGTAAAGAAATCGAATGTTTTTTTCAGAGTTGTCTGGCTTTTATTTGGATCTTGTCCCCTTTCCTGGCCCAACATAATTAAAACCCCTAAACTAAATATAGGATTCTTCACCATTGTTTGAATTTCTGTATATAATGGTAGCATTACAAGCTCTGATTTGTAACAGCAATTTCTCAGCACTGCCACACGACTTCATGTATATATATATATAGCTACTGCTTTTTTCAAGAAAACAAAGAGCAATCTTCATAACTATTAGGATCCTGTATTCAGGATGTACGTATTCAAAGAGGTCAAATTATACTATTCTGCTTTAAATCTTCTGTAACTTGGAAGTGAATCCTAGTTACAGAAGATTCGGAACTGAAGGCTCTTTCTAGGAGCTGATCTTAACATTGATGTATAAACCAGTAGTCAGCGTTGCCGCGCACAGGCATTGCAGCACCAACCCTCTCCAACCCACGGCAACAACAGTATAAATTCTGAGGTGGCTCATTTTAACAATAACGTTAACGATTCTAAGCATAGTTGAGGACATACAATTTTCACTGCATGGACCCAAATATAGTTATTTCAGTTTTCAATTTTCAGGTTAAAAAAGTCGCCTACTTGCAAAAAGCTTCTCAGCTATCTTGCAGATTTAAATCTTACAGGAAACTCTGCAGTGGTTGATAAAAAAATGGTCTGGAAGACTAACTCCACTAAAGCTAGATTATCTAAATTTGGGGTTTATATATAGCATAAGATACATTACTTTTCAGTCAGAAAAATACATACGAAATTTCACCTCAAGAGGCTTAATTCAAAGAAAGGTAATATCTTGAAAATAATGAACTACAGATACGAAACCATTTCATGCAATCTGCACACATAATGTTATTTATTTAAACTGCTCCTTAGTTCAGGCAGAAAACCAGCTGAGAACCAGCAATTAAAACCATCTGAAGTATCAATTCTCCTATGATCCTGTGTCTGTCTGTTATGCAGAGAATGCTGGTTTGTTTGCTTAGTTTTTCACTTTTTTAATAAACTGCTGCTGTGCGCTGCTGAACAGTTCTGTGTCTGACTGGTCCGTTTATTTAGGAGGAAGCTCCATGGGGAAAGAAACATGGTTTTATGTTTTGACAGTACAGAGCACACTGTCAACATTTAATCTATAATAAATAGCTTACCACCTGTTTCACATCCATTTTCCAACCTTACCTCTAAGCAGCACCGTACCTTTGAAGCAAGGAAGAGGGATGTGTGTGATCGCTAGAAGGGTGCGTGGGTGCGTGCTGCCTGTTGGCCGGAGGTTGCCGCCTGGTTGACAGCTGCCTGCAGCCCCCCCCCCAGCTCCTTCTTCCAACCTTCCAAAAATCTTCTATCGCTCTCCATCACTTCCTCATCAGGTCAGCTGAAATTCCCAAACTGAATCTAGACCCTGCTTCTGAAAATTGCCCTTTATTAACCTTCCTTGGTTAGGGAGCTAGTATTTTGTATGGTATAAAGAGCGAAACTGAGGAATATCTTAATGGCCTCAAGAAAGTCACATTCATTATGATTAAAAAAGCAAATATTAGAGAACATAGGTCATTTCTGCAACTCATTCTTACGATGCTGTAATTTGCTAATCCTTTGAATTACATGCAGCTTGTTATTTACAGGAAGGCTAAAACAATCTGTCAAGGTGCTTCCTCAAAGTATGAGACAAATGCTGCAAGTCACTAACTGAAAGAAGTGGAAAAAAAAAAAAAAAGAAAAAATAACAGGCAACAATTTTCAGGTACTAGTGAAGCGAGCATCCACCCTCAGTACAGTTGAGGCTGTATGGAAGACGGTTATCTCCCACAAACCAGTAAAGATGTAGAACAGACTGTGTTTCCACTATTTTGCGATATACATGTACACTGTTGCCTCCATCACATAAGGTGCTGACTGTGGCTTTTAGGGTACTCTCTTACCGGACACTATGGTAACACAGTCCACCATGGAGAAGCACCTTCACCCTATGGTTGAAGATCTATAATGTAAATTTGACAATGTTGGTAACGTTAACTGTGGATACACAGGGTTCAAAAATGTGAGCCTTGATCCTGCTTTGTTAGCTGCAGCAGAATTGCTATGCAGAGTAGAATTCCTCTGTTTTTGTCCTCGTGTTGGCTGGGATAGAGTTAATGTTCTTCCTAGTAGCTACTCTAGTGTTATGTTTTGGATTTAGTATGAGAATAATGTTGATAACACACTGATGTTTTTCATTGTTGTTAAGTTTGTTAGTCTAGACTTACATTAAGTCAAGGATTTTTCAACTTCTCATGTGCAGCCAGCAAGAAGGCTGGAGGGGCAAAAGAAGTTGGGAAAGGCCAGCTGACCCAAACTGGCCAAAGGAATGTTCCATACCATATGATGTCATGCCCAGTACAAAAACTGGGGGGAGTTGGCCGGGAGGGGTGGATCACTGCTCGGGAACTAACTAGGCATCAGTCGGCAAGTGGTGAGCAACTGCATTGTGCATCACTTGTTTTGTATATTCTAATTATTTTATTGTAATTTTATTATTTTTATCATTATTATTATTTTCCTCCTTTCTGTCCTATTAAACTGTCTTTATCTCAATCCATGAGTTTTACTTTTTTTTTTTTTTTGTTTCTCTCCTCCATCTCACTGAGTGGGGGGAGTGAGCAAGCGGCTGCGTGGTGCTTAGGTACCAGCTGGGGTTAAACCATGACAGCTTTACTGGTTGATTAGTGCCTGAAACAATTTCATTTTCTGTATGTGAGCATTTTTCTCACCTTTCCAATGTTTTTGAAAGCCAGAACCATTATTTTTCGTACAGTGCTTGAACTAGGCACATGCCACAGTAGGCTCTGTGTGCTAACACCCCATGTAACAAGATGATTGCCAGGAGGAGTTTACAGTATAAAAGTATATCTAAAGGAGATAACAGCAAATAAATACAGATGTAAGATGATCATGGTAACAGCAGTGTGGTTTTATTTTTAAACCCATTTCCTTGTTTGCAAGGTCTGCTGCGCAGGTGTGTCTGTGCCCCTAGGTCTGCATGAATCAAAAAAAGAGATTCGTATCTGCAATCTCACTGGCCCAACCTGAGTAAAGCAGGTGTTGAAACCCTTAAGCAGGAATACTCTGGTCTTTGTAAGAAAGGCTCCTCAGGAACCTTTTCTGCCTTTGCAGTGAACTGAATCCCTGGTTTGGAACTTCAGGCTTTTGAATTGGCCGCTCAGCATCAGACCAGTCAAGACACCATAGTTTTCCGATTATAATGTCAGCAGTCCTTTCATGGTGCAGTAGCTAAGCGGAGACTTCTCCGACATGAAAAATGCCTCACAACCACTCCGGTGAAAAAATTGTAAGAAAGGCTCCTCAGGAACCTTTTCTGCCTTTGCAGTGAACTGAATCCCTGGTTTGGAACTTCAGGCTTTTGAATTGGCCGCTCAGCATCAGACCAGTCAAGACACCATAGTTTTCCGATTATAATGTCAGCAGTCCTTTCATGGAGACTTCTCCAACATGAAAAATGCCTCACAACCACTCCAGTGAAAAAAGTGTGGTTTTGTTTTATTTTTGGAAACCACCGACTTTCAGTTGACACTAAGCAATTTATTTGTGGAGTTCATGGCATATTCCAGAGACTAAATGCTATAGTTTCATAAACAGGAGTGTTTATCTTCTCCCCTTCCCTTTCTAACATTACTGCACTTTATCTAATTTATACTGTCAGGTTGGGAGGTTTATCACTACTGCTGTATGCCTTCTTACTGAACTTATATATTCTCTTCTGAACTACAGAAAGAGAAGTGTAGCAAAGGTTAACTATCTTGACCTATTTCTCTCATGAATATAAAATACTTCCTGGAAAAGTCAATCCTTTTGTGATTGAAACAACTTCAGAATAGAATCACTAGTTAAATGTCTTTTCAGCTGATTTTGTGAAGCATGTGGAAGTAAAAAATACAACACCTCATAAAAGGCAATAGGAAAACAAACTTTTTTTTTCATATTTCTGTTTATCCAACACTGCAACAGGATTTCTCCCAAACTGTCTGAACAGGGTGTTGCTCCTATTTTTATTAATCACCATTCAAAACTGTAAATTCCAATTAGTAAAGGAATTTGGATTCCCTCAAAAATTCACAGTGACTCAAAGGAACAAGTTGCATCTGAAACTTTCTTGAAAGGAGGAATATTTCTCAAGAATCCAGTACTGGTTCTTCCAAGAGAGTTTGGTCCAACTCCTCCAGCTGCCCACTTGGCAAGAAGCCACGTAAGTTGGCAGGAAGGCTGCCAGCTCGCCTACTCTATTTTTCTCTGACGTGATGAATGGCTTTACATCTTCTCATTAGGAACTGTTGACATGTCTCATTTTTGTCATGCACTACACAGCTGAACTAGCCGTGATGAATCTCAAACAGCCCCCTCCTACTTGGAAAACACATTTATTCTGAACTGCGTTGCTTTATAATACACACCAGAATGAAATGGCAGCTGCATGCTTTTGAGAATAACTGTCCCCTATACCAGCTACTGCAGAGAGACCAAATACATTTTGGGAATGCAAAGCTCTGATCAAGAATCATGTCTGAGCCGTTACCTATCAGTATTTTCCTGTCTAAAGGCAAAGCGAAGCAGTGCAACATAAACTGATGCTTCTGCGTACACTGAACTGTGCGATTTGTTAAATTCTTATTTAGCTCTGACTTTCTGAAAACTAGACCGTTTGTCAGCTGACCTAACAAAAACCTGCTAACGCAGTGTTGAAATCACATGCATTGAAAGACCATCCTCGCCCTTGGGTCTCAAAACGTATGTTTAGAAAAAGAAAAATCTGAAAGTTTCTGGAAGGTTAAAGACAAAGGGTGTTGCTTGGAGACAGCAAAGAGCAGGCCTAGATGGTTCAATCGAGCATTGTACCCACAGATGTTACCATCCCGGAGTTACGGCTCTGATTATTCACATATATTCAGCACACTGATTGTCTAGTGATAAAACCCCATAACTAAATTCATTAGGGGGCTCTGCTCATGTTGCCTAGTGATTAAAGTGATTATGACTAAAAAGTGTCCTTGAACATCACTGGATGCATGGGTACACACACACACGAGGCTCCTCAGGGCACAAAGCTCCCATTCAAGTCAGCTTGATTTTTGTGGAAAACTTGCACTTATTTTAGCAATTCAATCCACGATCCATTTGATATAAACACAACTGACCCACACAGGCAGCAGATGGCCAGTAGACAGGTGAGTGGTGTTCTACACTAAGCTACGTTAAAGTATTGTCTCTTAAAGGATATAAAAATCTGAAACTGTGAATGTGCAGGCAACAAGACGACTTAGAGCAAGTATGTCTGTTGATCAACACTGAGTGGCAACCATATGCTAAGGCAGAACAGCCAGTGTACCTATGAGATACTAAGCATCAGCTAGCAGAAAAAAGCTCAACATAAAAAACAACCCCAAAATCCACCTTCAACTGAAAAAGTCCAAACAAATTAGATTGTAAATCTCAGTTTCCACTGTCAATCTCAGGATGCTGCTGTTTTACTTTTTCTGTTAAACTACATCTATATATAGATATATATATACACATATAAATATATAGAACAGTATCAGACAGGAATAATAACCAAAATTTGTGACGCAGTAAGCCATAATTCATTTAATTTCATTCTGTTGCAACATCAACACTGCACTCCCATTTGCCTGACAATAAGCACTAGGAGAAGCAGATGGACTCTTAACTGCTTATCATCAGATCAAAGTTTTGTTAGCCTGGCTGCATCAGAAATAAATAATTTCCTTAAAAGGAAAACAGCTTTTGTCATTTGCAAATCTGCTAACAAAATTTCAGAAAAGTCATATGAAAATACTGTTTGCAGAATTAATTAAAAAAAATTTAAGAAAGATTGTATGAAAAAAGATAATGTGATAAAAACACTGGCCTTCCTGATACAGGGTTCTGAAACACATTGATGCGTTTCTCAGTGCCATTCTACTAAGAAATGCGGCAAATTCTCAAAGGATTTTCCCAGATGTTAGGAAGAAAAAAAATACATAACCAATGCACAACAATAGTATAGAAAATCATTAACATCTAAAAGACTTGTAGGACTCTGAAAACAGTACAGCATAGATCCATGCTTTTCACAAAAATATAATTTGTGAAAAATAAGCAACTTACTGATCTCAGGAGTACTTCACAATCACAAGATAGTATCTTCCATCTGATACTGCAATTATTAGTCAAAAACTGAGTGAAACGAGTCTGGCAACTTCCTGTGTCACAAAACCCATATAACTGCACTCTGCTGAGCTACATAATCTGTACGCATCGACTTGAATTTGTCCTAAATTGAATGTGTCTTTACATTGCATCAGCAAATATAACCAATAACAACTAGATGAGCTATCTACTTAATATTGAAAATCAAGCTTTTTAGTCCAATATGTGTAATAGGTTGATAAAGAATAAGAGGAAGACTTAGTCAAACGTAACTATTATTATGAACTTTACTTTGTAAATTATAAGCACTTCAGTAATTCTGTAGGAAGTCCATCAGCTTATGTTACTATTCCAGTGAATAGAATGCTTTTTTTTTTGCCCAGGAGGAAGTCACTGTTTGTGCTGGGGTTATTACAACGTCAATATTCTTCCCACATTAGTACTATGATTAACACAGTGATTTCATACTCCACATATGCAAAAGCTGTGTAATCTCAGTATTATCTATGACAAAAGTAAATGTTGACTTTTTAATCTGCAACATTGTGTGTATCGGTATGCATCAAGTACATACACTCAGTGGTTGCCTTTAAAAAGTCATAATTCGCCAACAGCTGTCACACAGAGATGTCAAATTACCATCATTTTCCCAAATATTTCAAAAAGGAGATCTCTGCAGTCGTGTGGGAAGACTGGGAGGTGCTTGCTTTTTTCTTTTCTTTTTTTAATAGATTCTTCTGTAGAAGTGCACAGCAAGAAACTACCAACAATGGGGAGTAAGTGGTGCAGTTCCACACATTTTGCTAATTTTAAACACACAAGCGACTTCTTTCACCAACTGGAAGTTAAACATCCTATTTAAACGTAATCTACTGAAGTGTTTTAGTGTTGTAAGGTGCCACAACGATTATGAGAATGGCACAGAAAAGCATTCTAACCATGGGGATAAAAGTTTATTTATTTCAATGGAGGTACTGTCCCTTATCTTGAGTTCCCTTGACTGTGGGACCACAGGCAATGCACACCACAAAAAAGCACACTCTTTTGCTAGGTCTCTCTGCACAACTGTAGAGGAAGGAACTGAATGCCGAACGAAGTGCTTGCTTTTCTTCTTTTCTCCCCCAGAGAGTAGGGTCGCTCTTGGTTAAAGTCATTGGTAGGGCAGAGCAAGCATGCCTACCGTACGGCTTTCAGATATTACCTAACATTCACATCAGGGATGTAAAACAAAGCATGTTCTCAGCTGATAATCTCCTTGAGCTGAATATCACATTTAAGAAAATGAAAAATGCATTTATCCATGTTTCTCAAGATGGTTGTTAAATGTGTCTGTGACCGTAGGTTGTCATCCCTATTTTCTAATAATAGCTGTCGATCCACAAAACATGGACATAATGAAAAACGTATTCTTAGCACCCGGGAGACAACTTAAGGTCCTTTACATTTGATCATTTATTTTTCCAGTGCTTTTAAATTAGCTCATTCGTGGGAGGTGAAATGCATGCACTTCAGATACTGTCTATCTGTAGCTATTTTTGCCTCTACTCCCTCTTGACAAACTTACCTTGGTTTCTCTCAGTAGAAACTGCAAATCCCGCCCACTGAGTATACCATGGTTTTTTACGTAGCCGGGAATATAAATGGTGCTTGACCCATGAACAGTTCCATGGACTTCCATATAGGTGTGGATGATGTCCAGGTAAGACTTCTTATCCTGTAATAGCAACAATAAAGTATTTTCAGTCTTTACACATTTCAAGCAGTACTGTTCAATCAGAGCTGGTTTTTTATCTCCTGTACTACAAAAGCCAGAAAGAGTTCACTCATTCTTATGATGTCTATAATATTTGATCTTTCATTACATTATTAGTATTGGTTTTTACTAGATTCGAAGAAAACTGCAGCTTTTTTTGATAGTATAGGTATAAATATATCAATACCAAGGTCCTACTAATTTCTAATTGGACAAAAAACAGGTCACCATCAGATAGCTGTAATCTCAGCATGCCTAAACAATACTTGGCCTAAAAATACTAAAAAAACACCTCATTTTGAAATATCAAATTTTCACTCTGTTTTTGTGAGAGATGCAAAATAACTAGTTATTTTTTATCTTCTTCGTGAAGAAAAGGGTGAATCTCACCTTAGTAAGATGCACCCTTACCAACTGAATAACTGAAGACATATCTTTCTCTAAATAACTAGTATCTGAGTCTCGTGAGATACCTACAAATATTCCACTTATGTAAAGTTTTAAAGGCATTTTGGAAAAGACTCAGGGAAGAGTAATGGCTTTAGTGTCGCATTAATTAAAAAAAAAAAGTGCACCATCCCAGTTTGCAAACAAGAATTGCTTTAGTTTTCAATGCCATATGTTTTTTGAGTTTTAAAGACTACTAGCATTCCAAAAGCAATTAGCTGTAGACTGTATTTACAGCCAGTATGCAGCACAGATCAGAGAGACTTTCCCTCAATATTTGCACATAGTCTTAGTAACAGCTCTAAAATCAGGCAACAAGTTTCTGTACCTCTTGGCAGCAAGAGAGTTTTTAAGAATCTACTTTCACCCACTATTTTTGTCATGTAAATTCTGTACACTGTTCCTCCTGTGTGGAAACTGTGTGAAAGCTGGCCAATGATTTTACTGAAGTTCATTCAAAGGGCAAGTAGACTGGTGAAAAATCCTGTCTTTTCAAATCTTGGAGGAACAGTAAGGTATCAGGCCCAGGTGAATGAACGCTATCACTTCTTAAAACTTCCTTGCTAAATTACCTGTTGGCGTACATTTGAATACACAGGGTATTTAATGTCCTGTGACAACTGGCTTCTAGCTTTAGCTTGCTCTACTGGTGACACTATTTGTGATGAAGCAAATTGCCTGCCTCATCATTAAATCGCCCTGTTCTGGCAGCTATGCCAAGGCTGCACCAGTCAGACAATGTCCTGGGCTAAGTGTTATATAAAACAGCCCACAAATGGGGACAAATGTGCTTTCTTGTTTGATGTGGATGCTGTTAGTGTTAATTAACACAAATTCTTAAAAAAACTCAAAGCATGCTCCAATTTTTTATTTTTCCTTACTTCAAATTTCAATTACTCTGAAAGAGATATTCCTCCCGTTATTTGTAAAGTAAAGTAGCATAACTGGAAACTGTTGAGAAGCTCACATACTTTATTCAGAGAAAACCCATTGTAAAACTTTTTCTTTGCAAATGTACAGGAGAAATGTAAATGGAGTAGCCTGGTCTTGTTTGCAGAAAGCAGCAGTGGTCTGTCTCTAGAGGCGTAGCTTAATCCTGCCTGCCTGGCTTTTAGTACAGAGCCTATGAGTTAGGCTTTAGTGTTCTGAATGGGAAGAGAAGGCAATGAAGCCTGGGCAGTGCTGACATGATCTGCCTATAGTAAGAACAGGAATGCACTTGTGTCAGATTTTATTGGCTCATGTCACACGAACTGATGACACGAATGCACTCAAGAAAAATATGAGAAGCAAGGAGCTAGAAAGAACAAAACCGGGATTGCACTTACTTATTTTAACGATTTCAATGACAATTTTACAAACCTGTTACAGAATATTTAGCTGCTCTAAAATAAAATATTTGACATTAAAATTATTTAGTCTTTACAATCTTTCTAATGGTTCTTGAGAAACTGCGTTATGGGCTGTAGGACTGTTGAAGATTTTATATAGGTTCAAAAAACAATTATGAAAGAAAAATCCATGAAGCATTATTGAACAGACACACACAACTTTTGGCCTAAGAAGTCCATGTCTTTGGTGGCTGTGAAACATGCCTGATTTCACACTCTTCCTTATACATCAAGTTTTGGCTATTTTTGGAGTCAGAATACTGGACTAGATAAATCTTCGATCTGAACTGGCCTTGCTGCTATCATATTATCTTTATTAGCTCATTTTCAAAGATGAATGTAAAATGGACCAAAAGAAATGAAACATTTTCACAGGTCTCCTGTTTATAAGTGATGCTAATAAAAATCTGGTGGGATTCTGAGAAGCATCTGTGAAGTTTGTTGCTTAAGTTCTCCTGGAAACACTCTTTGATACATACAATGGACCTTGAATTTAACCCAAAGTATTCCCCAAATCATCTTGTTAGTAACGCATTCAATCTTTCTGCTATATCCATGTGCTGTCCTCTATAGAAATACCAGCACTTGATTGCTACAAACCAGGGAATATAGGATTGAAAAAAAAAAAGAAAAAAGAAAAAAAAAAAAGAGTATACTAAGATAGGATGAAAAGAACAGGCTTCCATGCTGTATTTACAGTTGTATTTTTTGGTGGAGCATTTATACTTAAACTCTTAAAGTTACAAAACCATGAAATAAATATTACTAATAAATTCAAATTGACTGAGCAGACATACAAATTATATTTAAAATTAATATATAACCAATCAATACCATTTAGGAAGACAAAGCAAAAGCAGTGATAAAATCAGCATGTTTTAGGCATCTCAGCAAGTACAAACAAGACATTAAATTAACTATCCATAACCTTAATTGGGAACGTTACTGAAGCATATGACTGACTGACTTCCTGATTCAGAGTCTGAAACCACAGATAAAACATTTAGTATCCCACACAGCATCAGTTCTTCCATCCACAATATTTAGAAAAATAATGGACTTTTAAATGGTGTTGCTGGGTTTCCACCTCCACAAGATAAGTACCGTAGACTGCGCTATAGAGTCTATAGAAATTATTCTTCTTCACAAGGGAAACCTTATAGGCAGATAGACATAAGCAAAGGAATTAATATGTAAAAAATTTATTAATTTGTTTTCAAACCAGAAGATTATAAACATGAAAAACCAACACACACAAGCTGAGAAAAATCTTCTGTCCCCCAAAGGGCAACCTTCTTCCTTTTAATCAAATAAAATTTTTATGGAACGATTGGGACCAAGAGCAGCATCTTCCCTTTACTCCCTGTACATAAGACAATTACTTTAATTTTTCCAAAAGTCTGTCTTTCTAAAGGAAACAAACCAAAAAAAGCCCAACCAAAAACTCAGAAGGCACAATTCACAAAACAATCACTCTTTTATTCCCTTATACACTTTTGAGTCAAAAGCAACTGTTTTCATAATCATCTATCAAGTACCATAAAAATACCCATTAGCACCCTATACCTTACACAACTCTCACCAACATTTGTCTCCTTTTGCATTTAAGTAGTCCTGAATTTCCACATTCCTTGTAGAAAAGTGTTATTTTGGATCATACAACTATATATTGTAATAAGCCTCTTCACAAAAATAAACAGGACACATAATTCAATTCTAAATGTTAAAAACATTGAATCAGAAAATGAGAGAGTGCAAATACGGCATTTCTAAATAGAAAAGCTACAAGTAAATAAATCAAGAAATGTGATTTGCAAACAAAATATCAACATTCCTTCAACTGTTGATCCACTTCCTAAGCTTGCTTGCTTGGGTGCAGATATAAATATTCTTTTATCTTAAAACATTTGACAGTAAACTCCAGATTTTTACTTTCTCCAAAATTAATTCAAAGAGAAAAGATCGTGGGCTGCTGGCTAGTAATGCAAAATCAACATTCTCTGCAGAGTTTGTATCAGACTGTGCTATCCACCCATGTCTGCTGCCATACTGCAAATCCAGACTTCGAGCACGAAAGATAACTACACCAAAAAAGCGCAAATTATTTCTCTTGAGAATCAAAATGGAAGCTTAACGGTGAGTAACAGTCATCCAAACCTTTTCTGAAACAATTTTTCAGCAGCTAAAATAAACATGCCATTCAGCAAAGTACTTTTTGTGATCATTGACTGCAGAACTGTTATTACTTACTGCTCATCAATTATTTCCACCTACTTTTAAAAGCATCATGAGCCTTTCTCATCAAAGAAATCAAATGACAACTGTCTGATATTTTTTTTCCCTAGGACAATGTCGACAAGAAGACACAGTCTGAAGGGCTGAAATTTTAAGTTTAGTGGGTGAAAAGTTGAAGCATAAAAGCTACAAAAATACGTCGTAGAAACACGACACATTAAGAACTAAACTCTGCTTTTAGTTTTCTTGATGTAGTAGATGGTGGTAATTAACAACTCTGCTTTACCATCAGTTTGTGAGTCCAAGGTAATCACAGTATTTTGCAATTTTGAAGCATTCAGATACCCTCACAGAACACCAGAAATCAGCACTGAATGAAACGAAGCACCACACAGGCAGAACTACAGGCCAACTAAATTACAGAAGAGCTTGATTCAGAGTCCTAAACTGGTTTATAGGTTGGCAGTTCAAACTGCAAAATGTATGTAAAAGAGCCCATATACCCAGTCTCACTTTCTTAGATTGAAAAAGTCCAAAGACAATGGTTTTACAAAACTTGACAAATGTAACTCAGAAAAGTAAGTACTGGGACAGATCTTATTAAGTCTAGAAGTCCCAACATCTGGGTGCTTATTTGCCAAAGTGTCAAGTTCAAGGTAAGCCAAAAATCCAGTGTATATACAATGTATGACAATTGAGACTGTGACTCAAATGTAAGATTGGAAAATCTCTCTTTTCAAGAACTGTCACTCTCTCAAAGACTTTTCAAGACATCCTTGAATAATGAAAATCCTGTCTACCAGGGAACTGGAAGAGAGCACAAATGCTGGAGAATTCAACATACAACGATATTAAGAGAGCTGAACAGATACAGTGTTTAACTGTAAC